TCAAATACTTAAGATTTGGACAGATATATTCCCGGCAAGAGTAAGAAAACCAAGGACGAAGGAGGAAGTACTTAGGCAACCGTTATTTTGTAATCCATGGTTGAAGGACCCCCAAGGAAAACCAAGGACACTCACAACAAAGGATGCCAAGTGGGGAAACTGGTTGAAACATGGAGTATGGCAAGTGAAACGTCTATGGTCAGAATTGAATGGAAGATGGAAAACGGGTAGAGAACTGAGGGAAGAAATGAAGGGGTGTCATAGACTAATTGAAAACCTGAACGACATATTAATCTCCGTTCCGGAGGATTGGACGAGGATGTTGAGTGGTCCATACAAATGGGGATGGGGTGATTGGGCAACCTGGAGTCAAAGTGTAGAACCCCAGCAAGCTTTTCGAATTGGTCAGGAGGTAGGACCAGATAAACAGTGGTTGGAAGCGGATATGTATTCAATCTTTACCCCAGGCAACACAGTGAGCCACTTAGATAAGGATTCTAGGGTACCGATCACCATCAGGAAGGATMTCCTGAGAAAAGTCAGAGTCATAGAGAATGATGAATTCACAATATATGCTCCAACGATCACCATTCAGAATCTAGAGGTGGACCCAGTTAAATGGGCATGGAACATCAAGGGAAGCTCGTCACGAGTGGTCAAAAAAATTAACATACTTCAGTATACGACTAAATCGGGATATCGGCTTAGAAGAAGGTCGAACCACTTGGATAGGCCTTTGGCGATAAGATGGGAAAAAAGGGTGGGCATACCAAGACAACAGGTAGGTAAAATACCATGGTCAAGCCTTCATGGTATCAGGTTGGGCAAGATCCGGAGCATGCAGTGGCTTATATTCCATGTGGCACTTCCGGTTAACGTATGGTTATATGAAAAAAGGAGTTGGCAGTATAGGGAAGAAATACAACAAGACTGTACTATGTGCACTGACAAAGAGTCTGAAACGATGGTACATTGTCTACTTAATTGTACGGAAGCAGAATACATATGGGCCATGACCGGTAAACTTTGGAAGCGTACTACGGACGTTCTCTTTCCAAATAGCACAAGGCTCTTGCTTATGGGAAGAGAAGTACCTAAGACATGGAAGGGGAGTGAAAAATACATCTTTCAGCTATTGAGACAGTATTCATTGTGGATTATCTGGAAACGGAGATGTCAACGGGTRATCGGMAAAAKTCTRATGACCAGGATGGAAGCCAGAACCACGCTCTATAATCTATTGGAAACAGACATTAGAGCTCAATGGCAGAGGATCAAAATACAAGCAGCAATAAACCCTGAAAAGGCGAAGRCTATTCTCACGAAATTTCAGAATAAGGTATTGGCCAGTGGCAAAGTTGCGACTATAGAGGGACAGAGACTGATTTTTCATTGGTTTAAGGAGGACAGATCAGAGGTGTCCTTGGAGATCCAAGGAACGACGCAGGAAATAGGACTACCATAGGGATAGGAAATGGGAGAGACAGTGAAGACCAGTGGATTGATGTTTAAGTAAAATAAAAAGCTATAGTTAAGGGTTTAGGGTTTAGGGTTTTGGATAGACTTGCACAAACAAGGCGTGGAATGGTAAGTTTTTTTCAGGACTTCATGAGGAACACACAGATTATGCTCTTACAGCTTTGAAAAAAAAAGAAAAAAAAAAAAGAAAAAAAAAAATGATTTCTCTACTGCAATGATGTCGGGCATGTCGGGCAGGGTAGTCTAGGAGGGCGTGCTCACAGTCTTCATCCACAGAATGAATCTTACAGCTAACACGGTCACATTCTGAATGTTGTTGTTTTCTTTATTTTCGTTCGTCTTTCTTATAGTCCCCTGCCAACGAGGCAGGGCGGAATCCGTGATCTGCTCAAGCTATGTTTCCTCAGAGGATTGTAACGCTCATCACACTGGCATTAAGAGGAACGCATCCAGCCATTTTCACGGCTGAATCCCTGTTTCCGTTTTTTTTTTTTTTTTTTTT